AAATTTGAGTAACAAAGGTATGCTAATTATTGTATTGCCTGAAAGAGTGTCATTGCCATTAAAAGCAGTGAAGAAATCAAGTACTCTGGTAAAAAAAAGACAAGAAAACACTTAAATAAATGGTAAAGATTTTTTATGATCTTTTTTTATGCATTTTGTATAATATCTTAGTACAATTTAAATACTTTAAATAAAATACACTTAAAAGATTTTTGTAAATGACATTTTATATTAGTTTAAGTCTAAACAAAAGTTACTTTAATTTTTGCCAGGTTGTGTATTTTTGCAGGTTAATTATTTTGCACAATTGAAGTTGAAGACGAAAGAGATTGTATATGTTATTTACTAATAATAGTTTTTTAAAATGGCCTTGCTGTTAAATTAAACTATACAGGAAGAGAACAAAAAAATGGAATGAGAAAAATTTTAATTGCATTTGTTGCTATTGGATAGTGGTTAAGAAAAGTTTATTTTTTTAGTTTCAATTTTGCATTTCAGAGTTATTTTCAATATGTTATGTTTCTTTGGCGCATAATTAAACAAACAACTATTTTTTTTTGCAGAAACTGTAAAGTCAAATAAGCATTGCTTATTCAGACATGTGATAGAGATAACGGAAGAAAAATCAATAATCATGGGCACCAAATATCATAAGCTAAACACGATTCAATGACAAGTAGCTCAGCCAATATCGAAACTACTCTATAAATTTTATACTGAATTTTTTTTTTAAAACTCAATGTGTCAATTTTTTGATTAAGTTTGGTGTTTGCATTATGTATATTTTACCGAAAAATTATGTTCATTAAATAAATTTTTATATTTGTATCATACATTCTTTTTTTGTAACGATGCAAATCACCTTACTTGTAACAACAATCTAATGTTTCATAAAACGTCAGGTTGATATAAAAATAATAATCGAATAACATACGATATTGGCCCAATGTTGTTTACAATATTGGTCCAACGTTATATACAACGTTGTGCCAATGTTGGGTAAACGTTGTATGCAATATTGGGCCAATGTTGTACACAACGTTGGGCCAATACCTAACCAATTATCAAACCTGCATTGAACCAACATCAACCTTCAACGTTGGGACAATGCATTGTCATGCATTGGCTCAACATTGGCCCAATGTATGCTTGCTCTCTGGATGAAATTCAATTTTTTTTTGTTATGTTAATTTGTACCTTAAATATATCTTAAAATTATTTAAATGTATTTTCAAAGGATGTTATGTTTATGTTATGCTCCTTACTAATAACACGACTAATTATATTGAAAAATATAATAAGAAATGAATAAAACAGTTATGAGTGTCTTATAAAATTATTAAAAAAAAGTATTCTCGATGACAAGACTTCACATAATTTTCTACAAGTTTTCTTTGACTACATAACTAAAGGTTTATTTTTCCTATCTTAATACTATTTTGTTTTTTTAAAATATAAAATTTAAAACAATTATATTTTATTACCTTTTCCATCAAATATATCTTAATACATTTTCAGTTATTTTGAAGCAATTTGATTGTATTTGCAATAACATTATATATTATCAAACTTTTTTATAATAAAAGTATGTATAGTTAAAACTATGTAATTGTAAAAATGTATGGAAAAATAAATCTAATTTTTACTGATAAGAGGTTCTGTAAGTTATTCAGATTGAAAATAACTTTTACTGAATACTTATTAAACAAAATATCAATGAAATCAGAAACTATGTAATAAACTTTGTAGAGTACTGTTATGTTAGTCGTTTTATGTAAAATGTAAAAACTGTTTAATTATTAAAAGTGTTTATAAAAGTTATAATAAGGTGCTGATTTATTGTTCTTAATTACTAATACTACTCGTTGTACTTAATTGTTAAATTTTTTTTTGTATTTATACCGATCAAAATTTTGCTTTGTTGAAAAGTTGCTTTAGTCAAATATTAAACTTTCTTTGTTTTTTTTTTTTGCTTTCAAATAGAATATGTTTAATTAAGCATTTAAGCAACCTTTTAACTAGTTAAAAATTTAGTCGACTAGTTTTGGTTAAAAAAATGATTGGACTACTCTTATTATATTGGCTATAAATATTTATTAAAACACTTTCATACTTTAAATCAAAATGATTTTATTGATTGTTTAAATTTTTAGAAGCTTGTACCATCTAAAGTGTAACTAAGAATATAAGAATACAAAATGAGTTTAATCATACTATAATAACGAACTCATGGTTTGTTGAACAATTTGAGGCTAGGAGGAAAATTTGATAGTAAAAATTTTTTTTAGTTTTTTATAATGTTATCGCCTATAATTATTGCGCATAGTTACGCATTGTTACGCCTATTGTTCGTTTTGTTAATTCCGGTTCTGCATTATGTAAAATATACTATTTCTTTGCCTCTAGAATTTTCTAAGCGCAGTTATATATTCCATGCGGTCATTCGAGTAAAATCAGCAATCAAATTGGAGCTGATACATTTATTTTCAAGAAGAATTAATGTTGTTTGTTTTTTAAAATAAAAATTTAAATAATTGTTAGTTTGCTATGTATATATATATGTATATCTATATGTATTTTCTCTTAGCAAAAATAATTGAGAGTAGAAAAATAAAAAAAATTTCTTCTGGAATTTGTCAAAAGGGTGTTGTGTTATTCTTCATTTTAAGGTATCTAAATATGTATTTATTTTTCATTTTTTAGATTAAGTTAGAACTAAATTAACTGGTAAAATAGTTAATTTAGTACAACATTTTATTAAATAGTTTATTTAGTACAACATTTTAAGCAGTATTTGTTTTATTTTTTAGAGCAGTTTTAGAGAAGCTGATCGCTTTTTTAGTAAGTTTAAGTTATTTTCTCATACATAAATTAAGGTTTTCGATTTATTTCAGTCTATTTTATATTTCTCTATATCTACATATATATATTCCCTAAGGAAAAATAATAAGAAATAAAAAAATTAAGAAAATTTCTTCTGGAATTTGTCAGAAGTGTGTTGTGTTATGCTTCATTTTAAGGTATCTAAATATGTATTTATTAGAAATTTTTTTAAACCAAGTTTAAAAAAGTTGTTAAACCAAGAAAATTGTAGAGGTTTATTTATCAATATATACTATAAATTATATAATAATATTGGAGGGAGTAAGTTAAAAAGCATTTTTAAATTTTTAAAAAGAAATAAAAATACTTTTCAATATATATCTGTTTTTTTTTTAGGTAGATTTAAAGTTTCAGGTTTTCAAAATTGTAGATCTTTTTAATGTATAAATAGACATTAAGTATTTCTAAGTAGATATTACGTATATATAAAATCTTTTAAAATTTAATAAATAATTATTTGTTTAAATAAGTAGTTAATTGTTATAATTTATTAAGATTTAAATTATTAGAAAATTCATGTTTACAGAGTTGTTATTAATCATTATCGAGTTGTTGAACCAAAGAAATTGTAGAGGTTTATTTATCAAATATATACTATATATATTGTAAAAAAAAATTTGGTTTTCATATGTTTTCACTAATAAATAGTTCTGTATATATATATATATATATATATATATATATATATATATATATATATATATATATATATATATATATATATATATATATATATATATATATATATATATATATATATATATATATATATATATAACTATATATAACTATATATATCCTTGGAGTTGCGACAGCATAATAGTGTGTTAGGAGAAAAAATTTATAAACCCGCGTTAATAACCTGTTTTCTATCATACATAATGCATTAATAATGCGTTAATAAGTTTTATTACGTGTTTTGTTCAATGTTTTCTCCCAACGCATGAACTATGACTCTGTCGCAATTTTTTTTTTTTTTTTTTTATTAGAAATAAAATAAGTTTTTGCTGATGTGGTTGCAGGTTTTTTTTAACTTCTATCAAATAAACTTAAGAAACCTGTATTACTTTTGATGAGAGCAAATTAATTTTATTTTGCATTTGTTTGGTTTCTTTATATATATTTGTTTTGAAATTTTTTTTTTTAATTTTTCGAATATGATTTTTTTAGTTATTAAGTTTTTTTATTTTATTGTTAACTTTAGATTAGTAAAAAAAAAAGAAATAATTAGTGTTGCTTTGATAAATATGTTTAATGAAAATGATGACATTGAAATGGATGATAGGCTAGATGTAGTTTTGTATTTACAAGATGATGTAAGTGCTATAAGGCGTGTTGAAAATAATCGAAGACGAAATGAAATAAATAGACTTAGGCAAGATGAAATTAATTGTTTACAAAATGAAAGAAATAGGCTCGATCGAGATAATGTTAATCGTCGCCAAAATGAAAGAAATAGGCTCGATCGAGATAATGTTAATCGTCGCCAAAATGAAAGAAGAGCTGTTGGACAAGGACGAATGTATTCTATAGCGAGAAGTAATGCTATTCCAGATTATAATTACTTAGGAGAAATGAATCAAATTTGTCAGCACTGTGGTGCTAAGAAATTTCCAGATGAAACACATTTTCTATGTTGCCATAATGGTAAGGTAGCTTTGCCTCCACTTTCACTAATTACACAAGCTTTACAGGATTTGTTTACAGGGAGTTATGTAGATTGTAATGCTAATGCTAATTTTTTAAAACATATTCGAAATTATAATGCCTGCCTTTCTTTTGCTTCTTTTACAGCAAATGTAGTTCAACCAATGAATCATGGGCTTCCATGTTTTAAAATATGTGGCCAGATTTTTCATCGTGTATGTAATCTTAGGCCAGATCAAGATATTCCACCAATATATTCTCAACTATATATTTATGATCCACTTGCTGCACTAAATTTTAGAATGCAACACTATGCTAATGATCTTTGTTTACGTGATTTAATGTTTCAATTGCAAACTATAATTATGGAACAAAGTCCATTTGCTCTTGCATTTAAAAACATGGCTGAAGTAGTAGATGAAGAAATTCGTAAGGCGGCTATAGAAGGTCGCTCAGCTTCTGTTGTAAAAATGTCTTTACTTGAAGGCGGTGATAGACGTCGTTATAATCTACCTTCACATGATGAAGTTGCAGTTGTATTTGTTGGCGAAGATGGTGCTCCCCCAACTTCCAGGGAAGTTGTTATTTACCCAAGAGGTCATCCTTTAAAAATTGTATCAAGTATGTCAGCCAACTTGGATCCTATGGTTTATCCGCTGTTTTTTCCAAGAGGTGATGCTGGTTGGCATAATCAATTGGTGCATAACCCTGAGCGTGCCACACTGGTTAGAAATCATGTTACATTATCTCAGTTCTACAATTATAGACTTTCTGTTAGGCAATTTTTCTGTTCATTATTTTATGGCAAGAAACTATTTCAGCAGTATGCTGTAGATGCATATGTAAAAATTGAAGGCCAGCGTCTTGCTTTTATCAGAAATAATCAAAATAAGCTGAGAAGCGAGCAGTACGATGCCTTACATGAACATATTAACAACATTGCCAATGATCGTAATATTAGACCAGGGCGAGTAGTAGTTTTGCCATCATCTTATGTAGGAAGTCCTAGAGCTTTAAAAGAAAACTTTGAAGATGCTATGGCAATTATTAAAAAGTATGGTAAACCAGATCTTTTTATAACTTTTACTTGCAACCCAAAATGGCGTGAAATAACAAAAAATTTATATCCGGGTCAGAATGCGAATGATAGACCTGATTTGGTTACTCGAGTATTTAAACTCAAGTTAAATAACCTCCTCAATGATATATTCAAACATGGTGTATTAGGCAAAGTTGTAACGCATGTTCAGGTTATTGAGTTTCAAAAGCGTGGTTTGCCGCATGCCCACATTTTACTTCATTTAGCAAATGATGATAAACTTGAAACATCACAGGATATCGATAATTTGATTTGTGCAGAAATTCCAGATCCGATAGTTAATTGTGAACTTTATGATATTATCAAAACTTGCATGATTCACGGCCCATGTGGGATACTGAATCCAAATTCTCCCTGCATGAAAGATGGGGTGTGCAGCAAAAAATATCCTAAAGATTTTAATGCCAACACAGTAGCTGTTCACAATGGTTATCCGCGCTATAGTGATAATGGGTTGGTTATCAATATTAAAGGCAATAATGTAGATAACCGTTGGGTGGTACCTTATAATCCTTGGTTATCAAAGAAATATCAAGCCCACATTAATGTTGAAGCTTGCATGTCTGTGAAGGCTGTTAAATATTTGTATAAATAAATATACAAAGGGCATGATTGTGCGAATGTTTTGATAAATGAACAGGTTAATCACGATGAAATAAACACTTTCTTAGATTGTCGTTATGTTAGTGCACCTGAGGCGCTGTGGCGAATATTTAAGTATCCCATAAGTCATATGTCACACTCTGTTATCCGTCTTAAGGTTCATCTTCCTGAGAATCAGATTGTGTATTTTAGAGAAGGAGAAGAACAAGTGGCGTTAGATCGTGCTGCTCAACGTGATACACACCTTACGGCCTGGTTTAAATTGAATTCTGAAAATGAAGGAGCCAATCGCTATTCATATGTTGACATTCCATATCACTTTGTATTTGATGATAAACATTGTAAATGGAAGGTTAGACAAAGAGGTGGAAATAAGGTGATAGTAAGAATGTATAAAGTTAGTCCAACAGGAGAATTATTTTTTCTTAGATTGTTACTTTTACAAGCAAAAGGAGCAAAATCTTGGGAGGATTTGCGTACTGCTAATGGAATAGTTCTTGAAACCTTTCGTGAAGCGTGTGTTTTTAATGGTTTGTTGCAAGATGACACTGAATGGCAGAATACTCTTTCTGAGGCAGTTTTAACGCGAATGCCTAAGCAAATCAGGCAGCTGTTTTTAATTATTTTAACCTTTTGTGAACCTGATGACCCTTTGCGTCTTTGGAATTCGTACAAAGCCTTTATGATGGAGGATTTTATTCATCGCCAAGTTCCATTTATATTAGCTGAACAAGCTACTCTTCTTCAAATTGAAAAGATTATTAATCAAAGTGGTAAAACGCTATCTGATTATAATTTGCCTGTTGTTGATGAATTCATAGATTTTAATCTAGAAAATTTAAATGATAATGTTCAGCAATCAATTGACGAAGCTAATCGAATGAGACCGCTTCTTAATGTCAATCAATTAAATGTAAGTAATGCTGTCCTTGCTGCATTGAACGAGCAACCATGTGTAGAAAATCAACATTCCAGATTGTTTTTTATGGATGGACCAGCCGGTAGTGGCAAAACTTTTACATATAATTATTTGATTGCTGAAATGAGCAGTAGGGGTGTTAAATCTGCTACAGCTGCATGGACTGGCATAGCAGCAACTCTTCTTACAAATGGATCTACGCTGCACGGGTTATTTAAACTTCCTGTCCCAATACTGGATAACAGCACATGTAATGTGACTCCTAACTCTATTCAGGGACAATTTTTAAGGCAAGTTAGTTTGTTTATGCTTGACGAGACATCCATGATTCCCAAACACGCTTTAAATGCAATCGATCGGTTGTTAAAAGATGTTTGCAACAACAACTTTCCATTTGGAGGAAAAGTCATTCTTTTTGGTGGTGACTTTAGGCAAATTTTACCTGTTGTGAAAAGAGGGAGACCAGCTGAAGTTGTAGAATCATGTATAAAATGTTCTTTACAGTGGCAATGGGTGCAGAAGTTTACATTAACTGAAAATATGAGAGTACGTGATGGAGAAGGAGATTTTTCCGAATGGCTGTTAAAACTTGGTAGTGGAACAATACCTGGCAAGGAGGAAGATCCTTTTAAGGGATGTATTGAAATACTGCAACAGTGCATTATTAGAGAAAACGAATCAATTGTTGAAAAAATATTTGGAGATGCTCAACAAGATGATTATGCTAAACGTGTCATTTTAACACCCACCAATGTGGATTCATTGTCAATTAATGAAGAAGTGCTTGAACGTCTACATGGAGAGGTCAAAACTTATTTAAGTGCTGATCAAATAGACACTGACGATCTTAATGAAAGAAATAATTTCCCTGTTGAGTTTTTGAACAGCCTAACTCCTTCAGGTATGCCTACTCATTGTTTAAAATTGAAAATTGGTTGTGAAATTATGCTACTTAGAAATTTAGATCTTAAAGCTGGGCTATGTAATGGAACCCGAATGAAAGTTTGTGCTCTCCAAAACAATTATATTGATGCAGAGGTTTTGACAGGTGTTTCTGAAGGTAAACGGGTATTTGTTCCTCGAATTCAGTTGGCTCCATCAGATTCTAATTTACCTTTTGTTCTAAAACGTCGTCAGTTTCCTGTCAGATTAGCTTATTCGATGACAATCAATAAAAGTCAAGGTCAAACATTTGATAGAGTTGGGGTATATCTAAAAAAACCGTGTTTCTCCCATGGTCAACTATACGTTGCATGTTCAAGAACTAGAGCATTTAATAGTTTGTTTTTCAAAATTGATAAACATCCTATTCAAGGTATGGTAGGTGAAAAATACTACACAAATAATGTTATATTTTCTAATGTTCTTAATTTATAGTCTTAATATTTTCATTTCTAAAATTTACTGTTTGTAGGTTGTGAGCACATTTTGTATGTGTAACTTTAATATTTTTATTTTTTTCATAGTTTTCGATAAATATATTTGTCATTTAATATTGTTATATATTGTGTTTATATGTGTTATATGAAGTCATATTTGTTTATAGTTGTATATATGTTTACATTATGTTGTTTCCATGTTTTCAAAGTGGTGTGACTTGGCAAAATGTTAAGCAATGTTAATATTTGTTAATAGGAATTTGTTTATTTGTACTGCCACTGGAATTTTAAAAAATCAAGTTCTTTAGCTTTTTTTTTTTATACTTTTTTTTAGGGGAGTTGGAACAAAAACTAAGTATAAATTATGATTAGTTTAGTTTAATAAATAAAGCATTAATATTTAGAAGATTTAAAGTTTACTTTAGTTTATAGTTTTGGTTTAGTTTATAGTTTTGTTTTTAGCTTTAGTTATTTTTTTCTTACTTTAGACAACTTTATGAATGAAATGAGGGGGATGGGTAAAACAATTATTTAGATATGTATATATTTATATGTTAACATTATTTTATCGATTATTATATATTTATTTAAGTATATATTTTTCTTTAGTGTCAGGTGGAAGTATAGCTGGTAGGATTGTGTTTTATATTTTATATATTTTGTATGGAGAAATATATGCAATAAGTGAAAAAATTAATTAATAAATATGACACTATTGAATTAGTTGCATTATTGCCCTATATATTTATTTAAATACAAAATATTGCATGTTTAACCCTTATTAATTTGCTTTTTTTTTTTTTTTTTTTTTCAGCATCTTCTGTTTCGAATGAAAATGGTGAGGTTATGCTAATTTTTTTTTTTTTTTAATAATTGCAAATGTATAATTTTAATTATACTCTTCTATTTGTAACTTTAGATTCCTTATCATTTGAACAATATCAAAATTATCGTTCCCAACACTCGGGACCTCTCTCAGAGAGGTCCTTCAATAAATGGAAACGTAATGGCGGTATGGATGAGCCCTCCTTTAAATGGAGGGCTCATCCATACCGGGGTGTTGGGAGACACCGAAGAAAAAACAGCAACCAAAAGGTTGTAAATGTCTTCTATCAGTAGAGATATTTATGACTTTTTAGTTGCTGCTTTTTCTTCGGTTTTTTTTTTTTTTTAATTTTGTAATTTTTTGTTTCTATTTTTTTTTTTAATTTTGTAATTTTTTTTTAAAAATATATATTACGTTGTATATTTGATTTGTTTTGATCTTTTTTAATGAAATTTTGATTTTTTTCTCACCAATTAAACCTGACTTCAAATTTAAAGCCCTCTTAAATACCCCTCCCTAAATTCTAAAGTCGAAAGTTGAATTGATTCATTATCCAATTATCATAATATAATGATGCTGCATTCTTTTGTTAAAAACAATTATTTGGTACTGCTTTTAAAATTTACCAAAACCCAAGGCAATATATTTATCTATATAAATACAATTTATTTATCTCGATTCCATTCTTAATCTTTTATGTTTATAGTTTGGCTACTTAAAGCATTTTATGTTTTGCTCTTTTTATTATGAATATTTTAAATCCGTTGTGATGTCTTTTAAATTAAACTAAAGTTTACTAAAAGCCAACATAAAAATTACGTTTTTGAACAACACCAAAAAGAACAGCTGCATCCCTACAGCAACTGCTGCAGTATCACAATAGGTTACCAAAAGCAGGTATACTGTTTTCCAGTTGTTGTTTTTTTTTTCATATATATCTACTTATTTATATAATACTATAGTACAATTGTTTATATCTCATTCATTTTTTTTGTTTGTTTATCTTTTGTTTATTAAGTGTTAATAATTTTATTCTTTGAATGATATTAGTTAAACAAGTCGGCTTTTCATTAAAGATATTGGTTTCAAAATTGAACATCATTGGCAAAATGCTTACAAAATTAGGTAGTTTTTAAAAATCTGTTTTCTATTTAATATACTTTTTTAATATACTTTTCTATAACAATTCTACTAATATGGAATCACGTAGCTTTTTAAATATGTTTAATTGTCGTCCCTATCGGTAATAAATATTTTAAATTATTTGATATGGTTTTCTTTACAATAGGCTATGCTTGGCTCCTCGGTGCTGTAAATGGTAGCTTCAACTTTGTTTTTTTTAAGAAAAATGTGTTTTATATATGCTTCTGTTTTAAAATATTTTTGTTACATATTTTACTATATATCTTGTAAATAAATTTCTTTTAAAGATAAGTTAACTTAATACTTGCTTTTTTACGGATTTTCTAAAAGTGAACAAAGGTTTAAATATATTTTTTAACTGTCTTTTATGATTTTATCAATTTTATTAAATATTACTTCAAATATAAAAATTACTATATATAAATAAATATGAAAATTGCTTAAAAAATATTGAGTAAAATCTAATTGCTTTTATTATTAACCAGATATATACAAAAATTAATGAAATAAAACTAATAATCTAACGCCAAGTTAAGGCAAAATGAAATAAATATGTTGATACACGTTAGCTATTATAGTAAATCCATATATTCCTTTGTTTTTTTATAATCAAGTTACTGCTGGATTACTAATTAAAAAAAGGTTGGTTTAAATAATAATCTTTATCATAACATATAGGATCCGTATGCAGGGTAATCCTTTTTCGGAATTGCGATATATTTTTCAACTTATAATTTTTCCGGATATCCAACTTCTATGCCTGCAAGTTTGGGTGTAATATTTTAGATGTTTTAAAAAATATAATAATAACATTTAAAAGGTTTAGGTGCGATAGTGACATATTTTGAAGCTCTTCACTCAGTTAAATGAAAAGTTTAAAAAATAAAGAAACGACTCAGCTTAAAGCAAAATTAAGAGTAGAATATATTCCCAATATTTACCTAAACAATTTTACGGAATTTGAAAATTTGACATCGATTTTCTGTGCATATAAGTTAAGTCATTTTGTGGTTAACTTTATCTTTAATGAAGCTAAGAGTTCTCTTAAACTAAGAAGCCAAGAAAAATAAAAGTGAGCTCAACTAAAAAAAATGTATAAATAAATTTATATTTCATTAGAGAAAGTAAATAAAGATTAAATTGACAGTAATAACTTATTTACTACTAACCCGTATTACGAATTGCTTACTGTGTAAATTAATAATTTATTAGAGTAAGTAAATAAATATCAAATTGTTAATAATGATTTATATACTATTAACCCGTATTACGGGTTGCTTACAGCTAGTTTATATAAAAGCAAAAAATAGCATTATAGAAAACGATCTATATCGAGAGTTAAAAGCATAGAGGGTGAACTTATTTCCAATATGCTTCACCTAATAAAATAATTATTTTCCTCGACTATAAGCATTTATATATCCAAACAATAAATCTTTAAATAACAAAACTAAATCAAAAGTTACAAATAATGAAGCAAAAAACTTTAAAAAACTTAAATAATAAAATGTTTAACCTAACTTATTTGTAATCTTTCTATAGTATAATACTTGAAACTCTTGATATTCTTGGGTGTTATTTTAATATTATAACACAATGTGATCTTTAAATTGCTTTTTGTTCTAATGTTAACAGTTATTGTTTGAAAAGCAGATCTTAATTTTTAAAAAATCCTTGTTAATTGTTTAGAAAACATCAACACAACAGTTGCAATCTAATTCATATCATACCTGTTTTCGATAAAATAAATGCATACTTTTTTAATTTACTTTTCATAATTCAAGCAGAGAAATAAAACTTAAATAGTTTCTTTGTGCTAAAACTTTGTGTTCAAAAAGTTGAATAAACATTAACTGTTTTAATAAGTCTTAATTGCTAATGACTTAATTGATACAAGTAGACTTTAAAAATTTATGGCTTGTTATTACTTAAAAAATTTAAAATAAATAAAAATTTAGTTCTTTACCTTAAAATTGCATCCAACGTTAAAGTATTGGCAATCAACTATGGTGTGAGCGCAATCATTAGAAATATGAGAAAACATCTGTGTGTAAAGTTTTAAAAAATAATTTACGCGTGTAATTTAAACAAATATCCTTTCTAAATATAAGATTATTTTTCATCTAACCTTTTTACGAGGAACTTTAATGCTACATTGATTTACACAATCAACTGGAAAATATTTGCAAATGTCATAATGATCCTAAATACAAATTTATAAGATAATCAATTTTTACTGTGATTGAATTTATTTATCTTAATTATTATCATCATCAACAACAATAACATCAATACTATCAATAAAAATTTGAAAAAGCTCTTTTTGGCTAAAAAATCTTCATTACTTTTAATTACAATTACTCTATTTTGCTGCCGGTAAAACGTAGCGGTAAAAGAGGTTTTTATGAAGACGTAAAATTTTTATTATTGTTAGGTATTTTGAAAAATACTGTAAAAGTTGTCATGAAATTGTCATTTATATTAAAAATACTCATACTAGTAACGTGTTTACGCAATTATTAAGGTCATTCTGGCTATCTCATGCAGTACGATGTTTCTTTAAATAGGAAAATAGTATGCTCAAAATGTTTTTGTTACAACAAATAAATGTGATGAAAGTCCAAATAAGTTCTATGTTTATCGTAAAATTATGTAAAACAAGTTGTTTTTGTTCTTAGAGCGACCAAAAAAAATTAAACTTTTTCCCCCATTTATTATTTGGTGTTTACGTTAAAAACTTTAAAAATATGGAATTATATTAGTGAAACCAAAGCCATGATTTTTAATTAAAAAACTTTTCTTCAGTTTAATAAAAAATATTGAATAAAAAGTATTGAAGTAAATACAAAGCAACTATAGAAACTATTGCTGTGGAATAGACTTACCATGACCCCTATTACGGAACATGAACCGGAATAGGACTGGCCCATTAAAATTCTCTGGCCTGGCGTAAAACAGACTTACGATGACCTGTTA